TGTGCTCTTCCGATCTCCCCAAAACCCCAAAACCCCATTAAGCTATACTGTAAAAAGAATATTTGCTATTTAAATCTTATTAATCTAATTACTTATCTAATTTATCCAAATAAAATATGATACCTTTATTGAAGTAAATATTTTCGAAATGCCATTCCATAAGGCATTTATTCACTAGAGCGATAGTTAATATTTCAATCATTCATTCATTCTTTTTGCTAAAACTTATTTTATCCTGGCTTATCACTCTCTATTTGCTCCTGTTATTATTGCTCGTTTCCTTCGGATTCCTATTAGATTCTTAAGCTATTGTTTGAGTCTGTACTTTTGGAGGGAATTTGTCGTTATCTTTTATCGAGTTTTGCCTTTATGAGGTCTGAGATTTATTATTCATCGTCATCATTGTTTGATTAAACTAATGATGCTAATGGTTATTGCTGTTTTTGCTCTCTTTCATTGGATCTTAATCTTCTCTTTATTCCAATGGCTACTCTGTCATCATTCTGTTAGATGTTAGATTCATCGTCTGATTTTTCTTAACTGTTTTGGGACCTTTATCTCCTTGATTCATACTAAGTGCTGTTAGCTGTGGGAATGTTGGCTTAGATATCTTTCTAATTGGAGTCTGAGATACTATCCCTCCTGGCTGCTAACTCTGCATTGCTGTTTGTGTTCCTGTGAGATTGGACTGATTGGATTGATTGAAGTTACTAGACAGGGTTTAACTGAACATTGGACCTCTCATTGTGTTCGAGGGCTTGAATTATTGATTATTCTATAAGCTACTCATAGGCTAGTTGCTCTAATTATTATTAGCTTGATGACGAATGCTAGTTCCTTATATTCCTGAACTAAGTTTCGAATGATCGATACTGTTAGTTGCTTATCGATTAGTATTGTTCATCGTATTACCTGTTTGATAGTTGTTGCTATTGGGAACGATTAAGCTCTAGCGAGCCTCTGATGCTTGATTAATGTTCGTTTACTACTAAGTATTACCCATGTCCTAATTAATTCCTTAAGAAATGATTCAGTGAAATTGAAGTAAAATGTTTAAGTTATAGTGTTTAATATATTATACTTACTGCTTTAATATTAATTCTAAGTGATATTCTAGGGCCTAATGAAGTCTTCCTAATGATCAGTGGGCGGCAATTCTCTGTCAAAAGGGGAATTATCATCATTTTCATTAGATAGTCTATTAAAACTCATTAATCCAGGGGGTAATGTTCTAGTTAAGCCTATAGAATTATTAAATTTAATGAGTTACCAAGATTTAAGCTAGATGATTAATTCTGGTTACTTTGAGGATTATTAGATCTGAAAGTATTTTATTGACTATTGCTGATCATACTATCAATCTATGATCTTCTCCCGATTGGCGCATTCTGGAATTAAGCTAGCAGAGTATTGCTATTTGGCTAAGAAATAGATTCCTAATTTTAGATGTCATTTAAAGTTCCAAAAGGTCCCACAGGCCTGTAAATAGATGTACCTTGGTTTAAGAAATTGCTCATTCCACTAAGTAAATTATTCTAATTTTATTGAAGACTTTCTTAGAATATGTGACTCTGTGATAGCTAATTTCTAAGGGTTGATGGCAAAATTTAGCTCGGAGCAATAAAATTACTCTCATCTTGAGCTGTTTATGTCTATTAATTTATCTACTCTAAGGGAGTCTGAGTTATCTAATGAATCTATCTTAATATATTTGGTTATTGGGAACTTGAGGTATTTACTGCAGGATTTAAATTATGAGTTTGAATCTATGGTTAATTATTACTTGCAATATTTTATTGTGAGCTAATTTATGACTGACTATTAGATCTAGTGAAACCTGAAGGGCCTACTTAAGCATTCTAACGCTATGGTAGCCTACTATTAATTAAATCTGAGGCATTAATTCTCTATTCTTAATGCTATTATTACTGTTATTATGGACTTAAGAAGGCATGAATGTGAAATTCTATATTTGAATCAGAATTATCATCAAAGATCCTATTGTCAAATATATTTGCTACTGAAAGGATTTCTCCAGGTGAATGCATAATAGGTATTTATTGAGAAACAATAATCGGTGCATTTGGATTTTCAATGACAGCAGACTGAATTGAATCGTTTCTTAAATCCTAAGATGTCAAACTTTGATTATGCTAGGGATTAGCATGCGAGGATGCTGGTCCATTCGCATTGATATTTTGTAATGATTGCTATTATTACTAAGGTTATAGTTGATTACTCGTGGATCTAAGCAAATTAAAAATCGATTCATAAGGCTAAAGTATGCCACTCAATCCTCTTCTAGGTATATTAGGAATGGATTAGTTTAAACTTCCTAGAGGTTAGTTACCTATATTCATGTTCTGATCCCTCACTCTATGTTGATGATGCTTGACTATGTTATTAAGATGCGGTGCTAGATCTGTAAGCATTCTTCCGAGTCGGTCCATGACTGGTGCTAATTGAGCAGCATTATGAATAATCTAAGGGTTTTAATCAGCTTGAGCATATCTATTATTGCTAGTATTGCCTGCATTTATGTGTATCCTAGAATTTCCCAGGTTTTATTGCTATTTTCTCTCCTCATCAAACTCCATAAGAGAGCTAAACTCATCAATCTACTATTTCTTCTCCTCTTCATTCCTCATGCTGACCATTTGATCTCTTGGAGTACTTACCTGGTTGGCTAAGTTATCCCTTTACTCATTGAAATTGACAATCATCTTAGAGGTCTCGCTCATAAATGCTACCATTTCATTAAGCATCCCGCCAAGTTCATTATTTGTAGCAGAAGGTGATTGAAAATTCAGAGCGTCTGGCTAAATATTGGGTGATGGTGACAAATAGTTGCACCTAGGGTTCTAGACTGTATATTGCCGGAAGGCAGCAAGTCTTGGTGAGCTGAATTCTATCCATTCATCCCATCTGGTTCCCCAGCCATTGTAATGTACAAAGACCTTATTGTCCCTAATTTCTAAAATCTATGCCTCAAGCCATTAGTCAATAGTATCCTTAACATCGACCCACTAGCCCACTTCAAACTTTCTATTATCAAGGCTAAATGCTGGCAGTTCCTTCATTTAGCTATTAGCAGGCGATGGCTCAGTCATTTACTCCAAAGATTCTGAGTAATTATTCCTAGATTCAATAATGCTTCTAAGCTACCAAATGTTCTACCTAATGACCTCTGAGCTCTCTCGCTGATTCAAATTGATAGTGTGTAGATACTGTCTAGCATTCTGTTGGAATGTCAGTCGCCTATTCCTTCTTGCAAGATTTGACTCATCTATTATTGGTTATTATTAAGTGATATCTAAGGCTTTTAAGAATTTACTTACTGATAGTTCTTGATATTTCTGATACAAGATCAATACCTTGACCTCCATTTATTTGAGGTGGGTTTCCAAGATTTATGAGTGGATTGACAGCAGTCCCTGAAATTCTAGTACTTTGGTTGATTTAACTTAAACTGGACGGATTCTGCTATTGATTTTACTGTAAAACTGGTTCGTTGTTATTTTGAAGACTAGCAACTAAGTGTACAACTTATTAGTTTTAAATCTAGATTAAATATTATTTTTATCAGAATTGGGAATGATTTTACCTTATAAGTAGCTAGATTAGTTCCATCCTTGAGCAATTTACCTTAGAATATCAATCTTTATCTGTTTATCGGAACTTTAAGCCTCTATAATCCAATTTATTCTTATTGTAATCAATTTACCTCTTCAATCTTGCTTTTCAAGTCTTTGACATCTGAATTATTTGAAACTTCCACCTGGTGCTCAGACGAGTCCATCGTCTTTATCCTTATTTGAAGCTGCTCCTAATTCTACATAGAGATAAATATACAAGAGTCCTAATTTTTACCTAAATATGAATGGATGTTGTATCTATTTAAATAGTCTGGTTTTAATCAGACTCATCATTTTAAATCACTTCGTCGTTCATTTTAGCTTTATTATATTATTATAATTTAGAGTTAAAATAATGTGATAATAAATGATGAAATTAATTTGACCACTACTTTCCAAGTTAATTTAGAATATTAGAAAGTTCAAAGAATGTTGAATATTGAGTCTTTTTACTATAAATTAACGATAGTATAATAGATCTTTATTATCCTATAATCATTTAAGCATTAATCTACTCAGATTAATAGTTTCAATGAAGTTTATAGACTTGATCCAATTGCTTTTCTGGGGCTTTGTCCTTAAGGTAAGTAATGTAAAATTCTCCATCTTTTATTGTTGATTTTTAGAGCTAGCCCTCTATTTCAGTTGGCTCTCCGTACTTTTTCCAGTAATCAATCTCAATTTGCTCCTTCATCATATCATATTTCTATGCATCCCACATTAGAGCGTCTGCTGCTTTAACTCCTAGTACGATTCCAACTGTAAGTGTGACATTTGCTGCGAGTGAACGCCAAATACTTCTTCCCATATTATTAATTATTACTCTGCTACTTTTAATTAATTATAATTTATCAAAATTAATCTAAATGTCCTCTAATCTTGTCACATTGACTACACAAATATTACCTACTGGAATGAAGCAAGGCCTGAAAAATAAAAAAGCAATGATGAAGTTCTTACAAACGCCAGTGGAGGAAACTGACTCTTTCTTAACCTAATGAGTATAAAACACCACCTTGGATGAATCAATAGATGTCAATCATTAATAAATAAATGCTAGGGATAATCATAAAATATTAAGATAGAGCCATAATCCTTCTCCTATTAGTCATCATTTAAATCAGAAATTACAAATGCAGCATTAAAGCCAAAGATATCAGGCTAATAAAAGCTTAAATGAAGACATTCAGGTCAGGCCAAAGATAAAACTTTAGAAAATAGGTGTGAAAAAGAATAATTTGATGGAAAGCACCAATAATAATCCATTTAAGAATCATTAGTAGAGTATAAATCAGTATAATGAGGATTTAAAGTTTCATCACCAAAAGTTGCAGTAATAGCAATCCCAAAATTAGATTAGATCTGAAAAAGCAAAGTACATAGATCAATCTCTTGACATTAATGTTTTCGATAAAAGAAAACTAAGCAGAGTAAGTTTTTAGGATCAATCTACATAAAAGGTACCACTAAATGCAATATGAGGTCAATAAATGTAACAAAATTCAGCAACTACTAGGTACTCATCGATACCTAAATTTCCTCTCATTAAGATGTAAAAAATTCCATCATTAGCAGACTATGATCAAGAAATGGAAGCTTTAGAATAGTAATCTTTGACTACTGGCAAGAATTCTTAACTAAAAAAGCAATTGTAAAGAATGGAGAGTCTATCCTGAAAACGTTACAGTGGCCTGGACGAGCATGACTATCAATTTTTCAACGAATAAAAAGAGATCAATATACGAAAAGCCAAAAAATTTTCGAAATTTACTTTACGAGAATCAGTTGAAGCCATGATAGAAAGAAGAGAGTCAATAGAAAAAAAGAATTAAGAAAGGCTACAGATGAGTATTGATTATGATGATACAATTAATATAACTATGAGACAGTTATAGAAAAAGCAAGAATCTATAAAATTAGGAGAAGATGTGCTCTAGTAACTTAAGAATAGAAATACAGAGGATAATATATACTTTCTGTAAAAGCAAATTTAAGAGTTATCACTTCATCAGGGGCTTAAAAAGGGCTTTTCTTTCTCACAGGCTATCAGAGAAATTAAGAAAGATGATAAGATGAGTACTCGTAAAAAAAGAGTCAGCTGGAATGAAAGGAGAGTCATTATGCTGAACTAATTCTTATAAAAATATTAGGAGAAATTCGCAGTATAGAAGGTTAATTTTATGAATAAACAGGAATCTCTTATAGATTTTGATCAGTTTTTGTAGTCTGAGAAAAAGACAGATATTATGAAGGCTTTTAAAGAATCATTTAGGAATATGAATAATTATTCAGGTTAGAATAATAACAAAAGTTTGAGTTTACTGTTAGATGATGAGGAGGAGAAAAAAGTAGATCAAATGTATCAGTAATTATTTGGCAAGCATAGCAAAGAGTCAAAGTCAGACATATAAAATTTGAATTAGAAGGAATCCAGGACTAAATTGGGACAGAGCGACTCTTATAGGAAGTACTAAATCAACAGTATTTCTCGACTGTCAGTTGATAACAGCAATGCTCACTCTAAAGTTAGATTGAGAACTTTGAAATACGATAAGAGCATTGAGCAAATCAGGAACAATTGTAAGGATATCATTGATGAATATCAGAATCTCAATTATCAAATTGGGACTGTTGAGCAATAGTTAGAAAAAGACAATTATAACATAAGCTCCAAGAATCCTTTCAGAAAGTAAAGCAAGATAAATATTGTCAAGGCATGATGTGTAAAACATACAGCCATTTATACCTATAGCAAATAATGTATTCTTAAATACACAGTAATTATATTGATAGGAATATTAAAAGTTTTTTATATTAAAATTTTCAATTAAATATTCCTGATTTCATCGAATTCATTTCTAATGGGGTTTTGGGGTTTTGGGGTTTTGGGG